TTGAATTACGTGGCCTATATAATTGGACTAACCTTTATTATTTTCGGTAGGACCTACTCTCAATACATCACGGCATTCCAAAAAAATAGTCCCCATTGTGAACCATTGCCCATGTCTTTGGAATTCGACGCCAAAGTTGAAAATCCCAAAATTGTAGAGATTTTTCTGATGTAAAAACAATTCTGAGGATTAAATCTTGAATGGAAGTAATTTTAACTATTCATTGTATCTATTGTTCGTTGTATGCTTTAATTTCGGTTTAAAGCGTTTTCATGAGAATATTTTTTATTGGATTTATTATACTAATAAAACCGATTTTTTTATTTCATTATCTACTCCTAAATGTTGTCAAATTTTAAAAAAGTCAAGGCATCCTACAGAATGGGAGTAAACATTTACATTTTTCTATGTATGTTCAGTGAACGTACTTTAGTTTCTTAGTTCTAGAGGTTGCCATGACTTATTCAAAATTTGACAACATTTAGGAGTAGATAATGAAATCAAAAAATAGGTTTTATTAGTATAAGAAATCCAATAAAATGTCCTAATAATAACGCTTTAAACCGAAATTAAAGCATACAATGAACAATAGATACAATGAATAGTTAAAATTACTTCCATTCAAGATTTAATCCTCAGAATTGTTTTTACATCAGAAAAATCTCTACAATTTTGGGATTTTCAACTTTGGCGTCGAATTCCAAAGACATGGGCAATGGTTCACAATGGGGACTATTTTTTAGGAATGCCGTGATGTATTGAGAGTAGGTCCTACCGAAAATAATAAAGGTTAGTCCAATTATATAGGCCACGTAATTCAAAATGTCGACCAACATCGGTTTTTTGTATTCTTAGCTATACCGCGGAACCTGTAGGTGATGGAAAATAATTTTGTATGGGACTTTTACTCAGGAGCACCCAAATATCATGGAAAACTTGAAATGGTTCGTGGAAATTTTACAAAGTTTAATTTTGTGTTCCTGTGTAACCGGTTCTCACGTAAGTAATTATTATTATTATTATTTTCTTATTCCTGGATTGTTAAATTGGTTAGAGACTGTTCGTTAGATGAGCAACAAGATGTTAAGGTGAACAACAAGATTCCAATAACCTTGACAACTAAAAATTGAGGCGACAAATTTTGTAAGTTTTAAAATTTAATGTCATCTTTAAACTTTAAACTGAAATTAACTTTAAATACATAGCCCAAACAACTATAACTCTTAGCTGCACATAAATTATTATCTCACTATGCTTCCACTGCGTCTAATTAAGAATATAAGGAGTGTATTAAAAATATATATAATGTAAAATTTGTATTGTATATAGAAAGCGAAACATTTAAATGCAGATAGAAAGAACAATGTATCATGTGTACAAAAAAATATCACGCGTCCAAGATCCTCTTTTAAAGGACTTACCGATAATTTGTATACCCTTGGATAGGGTATTATGATTTCAGTCAGAAGTTTGCAACGCAGTGAAGTAGACGTTTCCGACCCTATAAAGCAGCGGTCGGCACACACATACGTTGACATTTTGTTTTATATTTGTGTGAGTAATTTGCACTGGACAGCTCATCGATGTGTGTGTGCAGACCGCTGCTCTACGTTATACGTGTGCGAGCAGCGCGCCGGCAGAACAAAACCCTATGCTCACTTTATAGGCCGCTGCCGACCGCTGCTATAAAGTATATATATTCTTGATCAGCATCACTAGAGGTTTTGTTATTGTTAAGAAAGTAGGCTTTGAAAAATTAAAATTACAATCTGAAACAAAAAATTGTTTCAAAGCCTACCTTCTTAACATTAAGAAAATCCATCGATTTGTATGGCAGCTATACGATGGTGGTAAAATTATGATATTAATATATGTGCATAATATCAGTGAGTAATTGAGTTGTGCAAACTTTCAGCTTAAACATGTAAGAATTGTACTCATTGGAAATATAATAGGGTTTTTCTAAATTCGCATAAAAATTAAATGTCTTGGAAATGATGAAAACGAACAAAAATGTTTCTTCGGGTAAATTATGTTGGTTATGAGATGGACAATCTTGGATAATTAAGTTTATTTTATAGGATGAAGAAGACAGTCAAAACCGCGATAAAAAATTTAAAATAATTAAAATTCATACTTATTGGACAACAAAAAATGTAAGAAAATTATTTTCTAACTCCCCCAGTACACATTTAAAAATGTGTAAAGTTGCACGTTGTTCTTCTAAGCCGTTGTCGAGATATACTAATTTGAAGTTTGAGAACATTTTTTAAGTTCTTAACTTCAAAAATTTATAGCGCCCCTAAATGGACACCAAAAAATTTCAAAAAAATCACAGATGATAACCAAGGCAAACTCTTCAAAGTACCCGAGTTTGAAGAAAATCTAAAATTTCATATGCGCAGTTGAGAAATTCTTACCCAGCAGAAAGCGGCCTACCATAATGAGTTTTTTTTACATTTGGAACTCGATGCTGTGCATAAAAAAATTAAAGAACATTATATTACCTGTAAAATGAGCCTAAGATGACCAAAATCGGTTTACCAGTACAAAAAATAGAATCTAAACAAGAGAGAACGCTATAGTCGGGATGGTGTCCCGACTATCTAATACCCGTCACTCAGCTAAAGGGAGTGCGAGCGCTGTACTCGGGTTGGTGTCCCGAGTATAATCGTAACTCAGCTAAAGGGAGTGCGAGGGAGATAGATATATATAGATATTTCGATTGCGTGTAACTTTTTAATGAATGGTCCGATTTGAAAAATGTCTTCTACATTTTGATAGGTATAAATATACTCAACAAAATTGCATTTATACTTCTCGGAAATCTTTAAAGATGTGGGCGCAAGACACATTTTAAAATCGTTAGTGCGCGATTGTGGGCGTTAGACGGGGCGTGGCGCTCGGCTGAAATAAACTTGCGCTGCGTAGGAGGAAAATCTCAACCTTCTAGCTTTTGTAGTTTCCGAGATCTCAGCGTTCATACAGACGGACAGACGGACATGGCTAGATCGACTCGGCTAGTGACCCTGATCAAGAATATATACTTTATGGGGTCGGAAACGCTTCCTTCTAGCTGTTACATACTTTTGCACTCTACGAGTAACGGGTATAAAAAGGGCCAAAATCGTCTTTACACTGAAAAAAAATTGACACCATACAACAAATTTCAAGTGCCCATTTCTTAATTAGGGAAATGTTCTTTACCAGATAATTAAGATTGTCTTCAATTAGGGTAACGTCGATTTTTTTATAAACTTACACCAGTTTATGATTACAATCATTATTACAAAAATTAAACACGCCCACAAATATGAAATGGAAATTCATGCTTTAAAATTTAAATTAACTACTTACCTAAAATTAAAAAAAAAAGAGTGTGAAACAGTGACTGGTGAGCAACGTTTTTGAAAATCTATTTAAAAGCGCAGGAATCTGGGTCGGCTTGTAATTAAATTTAAAGTATGTGAGAATTAGATGTTTGAAGTATACACTCAGTGTAAACTGTGAAACTGTGAAAGCTAAAAACGGCTGAAAACTCTACAATGCACGAGTACAATGGTACGACAAATATTTCATTTTTTACAAATCACACCCTGACTTAGGGCCGTTTTCTCGTCCTTTTGTTAAATTTAAGTAGAACTTGTAAGCCGACTTACACGAAATTTTCATCCTCTTAATTTGTCACGATGTACAATAAATTTTAGTCTGCACGAGCCCTTTCTCGTTCTATGTAATAATAATATTATATCACTTAATTTGCATTTCAACTTCTATCCAACTTCAACTTCTTTAACACATTTGCTTCACTCCTAAAATGCATCTTTGTTTTCCGTTTTATTTTGTTTCATGTATTCTTCCTCGCGAACTAGTATTTTTGCCCAAATTAATAATAGGGCCCGCGCGTAACAAGCGCGTGCTTGGTATCGTTGGGCCACTTGTTTGTACTTCTCGTAGTGCATCAACGTACACATATATATATAACCTTAAAATCGTATGGTAAATCAGTGTTTTTAGCCTACTTTAAATTTAACAGGCGGACGATAAAACGGCCCTTTAGATAACAGTTTTATCCCGTACAATCTTTTCAGTAGGTTTGCATATTTTCTAGTTTTTAACAAGAAAGGAAGCTACCTTCGGCCAGCCGAAGCTTATATACCCTTGCAGATAAAAGAATGCTCACTCGGTGCAGTTACAGGGATTCCAGATTCAGCGTTTCTATTTATTTAAATTTTGTTTTTAAGTAGTCAAGAATCAAAACGCCTACTTCCTACAAAGTTACAATGAATTTTCTTATATTTGTTTGAATATTCCTATGGGAGCCTTAAGATATAGTGGTCCGATCCGGCTCGCTCCGACATATGTACTACCTGCAATAGAAAGAAGACCTTCGGGAAAGTTTCATCGCGATAGCTTTAAAACTGAGAGACTAGTTCGCATAGAAACGGACAGACGGACAGATGGACAGACGGACAGACGGACATGGCTAGATAGACTCGGCTATTGGTGCTGATCAAGAATATATATACTTTATGTGGTCGGAAACGTCTCCTTCACTGCGTTGCAAACATCTGACTGAAATTATAATACCCTCTACAAGGGTATAAAAAGACCAGATAAACTCGTCTATTTACTGAGAGCTGTTATTAATTAAAATCTGGCTTGCTTGAATATTAGATTAGTTCTTTAGGTATTTAATTTTAATTTTTTAGGTTTGGAAAAATTAGCTGAACTTTTATCGAGCTGGAAAACATGAACAGGAGGTCCAAGTTTCTCTCGAAGTTATCTCTCACATTGGAGCTTAAGAAAACCAATTTTCCTTCGACTTTATTGGTCCGAGAAATGTTAGCCGGCACTTAGAATGAAAGCATTACAGCTATTGTCCATTACATTGTCGATTGTATTAAATTCGATCATTGAAGGAGAGCTTATGCATCCCAAAATTAAATATAAGTCAAAATTATAATTTTAAAAAAGATTAAGCAAAACGAAATTTTAGCTTTCATATTTCAATATAGTACCATTATTATTGAACAAAGTCAAATAAACAAACACATTAAATATTTTTAATTAAATTGTTAGTACATATGTCGTAAATCGTTAAGTTGTTTGAGCAACATCTAAAAATCGGAGTATGGTAAATTTCCAACTACGGGTGGAGAGTATTGACTTTGGTAGGTCTGTTGTTTGTCGAGGATAGCTCCCCATCCTCTGGCACACTTATTAAAAGTTTGACCTTTGTTCGCCGGTGGAGAAACTGAGCTGGTAGTTAGTGGTCCACATCTAGGAGACCCAGTTGGTAACAGTTGACGGTGATGGGATTCAATTGATCCTATTGAACTTGGAGATCCAGATGTATGCTCATTGAGTCCAATTCCAAATGGCGTTGGCGAAGCATTGCGCACTTGCAAGTTTTGTTGCACACTTAGGTACGGTGAGATTGAACCTGCCAAGTTTTTCCTATCAGGCTGTTCATATCTAGCCAATTTATCAACAGACAAAGGCGTAGGGCTAAAGTTGACCTGAGGAGTGAAGTTTTCGGATCCAATTGGTATTTTTTGATAGCTTGACGGCGGGTACAGCTGCTGCTTTGGTGGTACTGTACTAAATCCAGATGACACCGGCTTTGAGAGCGGAAATTCGGCAATGCCATTGTTTCCAATCGAGCTTGTATTAGCAGAAAAGTTAGTTCTTGGTAAGGGGCGTAACAAAGATCCGTGACTTGTTGGTTCAAAATGTGTATGGTGCCCTGTGTACTGGCTAGGAGGTGCTGCATAGCTAGAAAGAGATATTTCCTTCGGAACATATAAGCCTATAAAAAGAAAGTAGAAACACGAAATAGAAATTATTGGAAAGCTGTATTTTAAAATAAAAGCTAAAGTCAGACGATGATACAAATTCTGACCGTTCTTATCTTCCTGAAATGCAATATTAATATTACACATTTTAAGAAGTGTAGGTATTACATGTATAAAATCCAGGGACTGTAAGTAATGATTATAAATCGATTGGTTAAAAAATCAATCAGTAAGAATCGAGACACGCAGAAAAGCCAAATACCAAAGGGATCCTTTTTGATTAACCTATCCATTTTCAACTTGATCATAAAATTGTAATTTTTACAATATTCTCATATATAATTATTACTATAAAATAAAAATCACAAATTATCATTCATAATCGAAAAAGTCGCACAAAATAAAACTCACTTTAAAACCATAACAATTCTCTGTGAAAACTATCTTCTTTGCACAATATTCTACCTAAGCAATTTTTATACCCTTGCAGAGGGTATTATGATTTCAGTCAGAAGTTTGCAACGCTGTGAAGGAGACGTTTCCGACGCCATAAAGTATATATATTCTTGACCGTCTGTCCGTCTGTCTGTCCGTTTCTACGCAAACTAGTCTCTCAATTTTGAAGCTATCGGCTTGAAACTTTCCCAAAAGTCTTCCTTCTATTGCAGGTAGTATATAAGTCGGAACCGACCAGATAGGACAACTATATCTTATAGCTCCCATGGGAAGGATCATAAAAAAAAACGTTAAAAAAATTCTGGCTTCGGTGTTTTTTAAATATCACTTTATACTTTTGGAAATATTATTTTTTAAATATTTCCAAATTTCGATTTTAATTTTAAAAAGATCGAACTACTATATCATATAGCTGCCATAGAAACGATCGAAAAAGTAATGTGAAATAATAGGAAATTTAACATTTTTGCGGTTTGTAAATTAATAGAATGATATAAGCTTCGGTTAGTCGAAGCTAGCTTCCTTTATTTTTTTTCGATGAGGAATGATGCATAACAATTATTTTTGGAGTCACTTATATACACTACACTGCTAGAACTTTCTACGTTTTATTTATTTTATTTTAATAGAATTTGTTTAAAATTGTAATAAATTAAAATCAACTGGATATTGAACTGAGAATTCCACAAAACTGAAACATTTTCACTGTCTGACAATAGCCTAAAAATCATACATTTATAAGATGGTAGAAAACTGACAGATATACAAATACATTTTTAGTGTAACATAATAACATACTAACAGTGTTGGGACATACCTAGATACTTTTACCTAGGTACGTACCTAGGTACAATTTAGTGGTACCTTTTACCTTACCTAGGTATACAAATAATTGAGTACCTTTTACCTTACCTAGGTATTTATTTTTATATACCTTTGGAATTATTAAGGTACTTACATAGGTATTAAACATTGCTCTGATTTAAAATAGCTAAATATGACTGCGACACTGTAGTATCGTTTCATTGTATCGTTTCGTTTCAGAATAGTAATAGTCGGAACGCAGCATTAATAATTCAGCCGTTCTATTGTTTGTTTTGTGAAGTTAAAACTAATCGCAGATTTTTTTTTTATATAATTTTGTGCACGTATGTATGTTCCCATCACTACATCAATTTATTTATGAAACCAAAGTGTATTTGGCGCGCAAAAATGCCGTATGTACGTAAACAAACGGCATATACATGCATATGCACAATATATAGTCAATGTTTCTACATACGGAATTTTTGCGCGCCAAATATGTACATGAGGGTTTCATAAATACATTTGTGAAGTGAAACGTGCATAAAATTATTCATGCCGCGTGGTTTAAAAATATATGCACAAAATTAAAACATTTAAATTTAAATGAAATGAAAAGATATTGTTTGATTAAGACGACTAAAAACTGAAAACTAGTCTTATTTTAAGTTTAAATGATTACATTGAACAAAACAAAAAAATTATAAAAAATAAAAAATACCTTATAAATACCTTTTACCTTTACCTAGGTACTGGGAAATTTAAGTACCTTTACCTTACCTAGGTATTTATTTTTGACAATACCTTTTACCTTACCTAGGTAAAAAAAACACAGTACCTTTCCCAACACTGCATACTAATAACACAGTAACACATTTGGGTATAGCAAATTGTTATTGGTTTAGAAATCCCCAAAAACTCAAAAAAATAACCTTAGATTTGTTACGAATTTAAGTTCATGGTAATACTCTAGTTTACGGTCTTCACCCCAAACAATACGGCCATCGACGGACCGCGCGGACTGTTTTGCTAAAAAATACAGTAGCCTTTTCTATGATTTGGGGCTGTCCATATATTACGTAATCACCTAGGGGGGGGGAGGGGGTCATTGAAATGATTATGTTTGATTACATGGGGCCCCCCCCTCCCCATGTAATCAAACATAATCATTGTACAATCTTGTACAATGATTACGTAATCATTTTATATTAATTTTTTTATTTAAAGAATTTATTTAAAAACTTTTTTCCTTTAATTATATCTACAAACCAGGGACCAAAAATAAGTGTTATTGTAAATTTTTCATACAAAAAAATCACGCATTGTAGTTTACAAATCCGTAATGATTTTTATTTTTTGATTTTTATAATAAAACTCAAAAAATAACTGTTATTTTTTGATTTTTATGAATAACAGTTATTCCCTTGACATTTTTGAAAAAATGAAATAATTAAAAAAAACATGATTCCCGTGTTTTATATAACTTACTAAAAATTTGTTAAAAAAGGAAACCGTGCATATTTTATACCTATATTTTTTTTAAATTTATTTTACCCACAAAATCGCCATAAATCAAGTTTGAGTTTTATTTTTGATCACGACGAATAACTGTTATTTGCCAACTTTTATTATAAAACTCAAAAAATAACAGTTATTCCTTGAGTTTTACTTTACAAATCAGAAAATAACTGTTAAAGAGTGATTTTTAAAATAAAACTTATAACAGTTACGGTCCCTGCTACAAACTTAAATAGGAAAGCAGAGAAAAAATTTTTGTAGTGGCTGTGCGGCGAAAAAAAGAATGTTTAGTGGTTCAATCACACGAAGGACGCGAAGACCTGGAATGGCTTGACGAAGAGTATGTTGGGGATAATATCAGCGTAGACGAACCGAATGTGTCATACCAAACTTCATTTATAAACAATATTAAAGATTGGGTTGCATCTCCGTTTGAATCCACAGATTAAAACAAACAAAATTTTATTCTGGGGATTACGTAATCATTGGGGGGGGTTGTTTATTGAATGATTACGTTTGATCACCAGGGGGGAGGGGGTCAAAAATCACCAAAAACGTGATTACGTAATATATGGACAGCCCCTTTTGAGTGCTTTGCTATAAAAAACATTAGGGCTTTTCATCCATTGTCAAAAAAACCTGCCAATATAGTAGTCCATGGACCGCGACCTATAAAAAAGTAACTCTGTAAAGCAATAGATATTACACAATCTAATTTCTGTTTTTTTATTTAATCATTAACATTTTTCCGCACCTCCATATTGTATCGGGAATCAAAGAATTGGACTAATTATTTTCAACGTCTGCATCTGCTGGATCCTATATCAATAAATATTTATGAGATTATATTTGATGAAAGTTAAAAAAGAGAAAACTAAAAATTCGTAAACATAAAAATTAATAAAAAAAAATTGGCATAAAATTTAAAAATGAGGATTTTTTATTTTCCTTATACTGAAAAGCATTATGGCACTTTGTAAACATTAAACATGAGTGATTCTTTGTGAAACGTATCGAGATTTTCTTAATGGTTCAAAACGATATCTCATTCTTATCACGACATTTCACCATTTAAAAAGAATTTTTAAAAAGGTAAAAAAAAATCCATTTGACAGAAGCGAAGATATGGCGACGCTTTTTTTTTGTTTAAATAACACTATGCAGCATCAAAAATTTACCTCGATGGATGCTATATTTTTGGATTCGTTACGAATTCCCAAGTTAAACTGCGTTTTCCAAAAAGTTCCCCGACGCAAGGATTCTTAGCAAAAGGACCTCAAAGTTCGAAAAAAGCTGAAATTGGCCAACTTTGCGGAGCTCTCAGAGGCAAATGGATACATGGTTTGATTGGATGTTAAAGTTTTTTAAAAGATACACCTTTTATCTTTTTAAACCCCATACTTAAAATAATTTTAGGATTTTTTTTATGGCAGAAATAAATTCCAGAAAACATAGTCAAAAAACTTAAAAACATACAACTGCGGGCAAAATAGTAGTAGTGTTGCCGCCTTGTGTTTTTAAAAGTTTGTTGTTGTAATTGATCTCTTCCTGGTAATATTGTATTGATTATAATTTTACTATTAGACTAATTGGATAAAAAAAAGTTACAACATCAAACTTTTAAAAACACAAGGTAGCGTACTAATTTGATTAGACAAACAATTTTCGTTCTTCATTAATTCCGGGAGAACGACTGTTCCCATTTAGGTAGAACTCATAGGAAAAATTCAGTTTGGTATAGCAAAGAAAACCCTACCAATTTCAACGTGGGACAATAACTTCTTGCTACTTAATTATAAAAATATATTTTAATGCATTCTAAAAAAGTATGATGTTTTATGAATAATTTAGCCTTTGCGCTTAGTGCCTTGGAAATAATGCGTGTGCTACCCCTCTTATGGTTTTTTTTGTTGAACGGATTGATGCAGCGATTTTTAAATATTTTCATTTTTCTAATGATCAGATTTTAACAAACACAGTTTGTATGTTTTACTTTTAAATTGTAGCCCACTTTCTCATTTTTTCATAAATCAATGATTACCAATTTAAATTATTCATTAAACTTCATATTTTTTTAGAATGCATTAAAATATATTTTTATAATTAAGTAGCAAGAAGTAATTGTCCCACGTTGAAATTGGTAGGGATTTCTTTGCTATACCAAACTGCATTTTTCCTATGAGTTTTACCTAAATGGGAACAGTCGTTCTCCCGGAATTAATGAAGAACGAAAACT